TTACTTTTTTATAAGCCCAAACTATTTTTTGTTATTAGCCAAAATTGGGCGAAATTACTTTAAAGTTGTTTAAGTTAAAATAAGTTAATTGATATAGTTTTTTAATGTTCATGTTTATAAAAAATGCTGAGAAGCCCAAATTGCACAAACTAGTTTGGGCTTTGAGAAAACAGTTTGGACTGGAAACCTTAATGGTGATGAAAATACATTTTTTAATTAATTAAAGTTTATGTGATGGAATTTTCATTGTTTCCTTTGATCATGCTATCTAACATTGGATAACAATAAGGAAAAGGAACTCAACTATTATCAAGACAAGACAAGACAAAATATTAATTATACATTTGTTGTACACATGTTACAATAATGAGTGGTGAAAATACTTTCCTTAATTAATTAATAAATTTTATACAATTCCTGCTCCAAAATGCCTTCTCATTGACTGTTCATAAAAAAAAGGGTTTGGCCTTACCTACATAATCATCTCTATTGACGAGAACATATTTGCTGAGGCTAAGCTTGAGTAGTGCAAGCTCCTTGGAAAACTTGAACATCCTGAGATTTGGTTTTTCTCAAAAAAAAAAAGTGCTTTGATTGAATGCAAGAGATTGGAAAAAATTAATCATGATTAAATAGCAAGATATTGCAGTAAGCAGGCATCCCGTAGAAAAGGTCACTGGTATCATCAAGCCTACTTTGTTAAAATATTATATTAATATAGTAATAAACATTTTACATTAAAGTTTTCAATCCATCACTAATAAAATAATTAGCTTATGGGAAAATATCTCAAACAACAGAGAAGTAAATATTCTAGCATTCTAAAATGTAACGACTATACTTGTAGTAGAAATAGGTTGATCACTTGACTCAATCAGGTGACTTTTGATGCAATTAATTGAGTTGTATGAAAAACATATAAATAATTGAATCAGATGCAATTAAAAATTGAGATTTTGGGAATTGAGTCAAAGCCAAATTAATTTTGACAACATGTATATAACAAACCTTTAATTCTCAGGTTAAACTTAAACAAAGGAATTTAAATGATTGAATCACTTTAGAAATAACTTGAAAATAATAGAAGGCTCAAGTGATACATTTAATTAGGATAAATTAGGATTTCAAAGAAATTGGAGAACTAGATAATAGAACCTTTAACATATATAAATAAACATTGTAACTTTCTCAGCTTCATGTATCATCTTCATCATCATAAAAATCGTAATAATAATTTAATAAATAACACTGTCTTTAACCTTGCCCTTGTCCTTGTTGTAGCCTTCAAATTTATATTTTCTTAATAATAATAAATCTATCTCTAACAATGAATTCACACTAATCCCAAGCATAACAAATTATATCTTATTTTATATTTATCTATTATTTTTATTATTTTTTATTTCTTTATTTTTTTAGTGAGGCAATATTTAATGAATTTTATTTAGTAGCTTTTGGATATGTACCTGACTTGGCAGTAAAGAGGAAAACAGCTAGAAGGACACCCACTAAGAAATGTGATCAGGATATGTAGTGCAAAATTAAAGATATTGTTTAGTATAAGGAATTGTTTAATGATAGTGAAAGATAGTTTTGAGAGTAAAGCATAAATATACATTTGCAGAAATTGTATAAATAAATTGGAAGAAATTGTATTAACATTGCATTGTTGGCATATTATTATAAACTATACATGCTATGGTAATTATTTTGCCAAAAACGTAATACGTAATACGTAATACGTAATTACGAAATTAATTACGAAATTAATTACG